GTAGGTCATGGTGCCTACCCGCTTTAAAACTTTAAACGACCCCTCGTATCTTCGCACAAGCCCTTTGTGATATGGGTTGAGCAAGATCCCACTTAATTTGGCAAAGACTAGGTCGCCCGCCTCAAAATTGACGTCCCGACGCTTTTGATCCGTCCACTTCTTGGTTCGCTTCTCTGCCTTGTGCAAACAAGCTCGGGCAAGTTCATGTTGTTCTTGTCATTCCTTAGCAAATTGGTATGCTATTGGATTCGACCCTTTATGCCCAGTCACGACCGCATTTGGTGTGAGCGGCTGCTGCCCGGTAACAATCTCAAATGGACTTTGATTTGTTGCTTCACTCCTCTGTAAATTATTGGAAAATTGGGTTATATCCAACAATTTTGGCCAGTCGCGTTGCGTGGCACTCATATAGTGCCTCAAGTATGTCTCTACGAGTACATTTACTCTTTCGGTTTGCCCATCCGTATGTGGATGAACACTCGTCGAGAAGTTCAAGCTTGATCTCATCAACTTGAACAACTCCTTCCAGAATCTCCTAGTAAACCTTGTGTCCCGATCACTGATAATCGTCTTTGGGACACCCCAGTACTTCACCACGTGCTTGAGAAAAAGACGAGCGGCCTCCTCGACGGGGCATACTGTGTATCACCTTTCGGTCTCATTGAGCTTCTGGATTTCGTAAGCAACTTAATGTCCTTCTTGCATCAGGACCCTACCAATAGCAACGTCAGAGACATCGGTGAATACTTCAAAGGGCTTGGTGTGATCTGGCAACACCAAGACTGGCCCGCTTATCATAGCAAGCTTGATTTCATCAAAGGCAATTTGACACTTTGGGCTCCAATCCCACCCCTTGTCTTTCTTCAATAACTCGAATAAGTGGGCGGCGATTTTCGAGTAACCTTTGATAAACTGTCGGTAATAGTTGGCCAACCCTAGGAATGACCTCAGCTCCGTCACCTTGGTTGGCACCTTCCATTCTTTAATGGCTCGAATCTTGTCCCTATCAATCCAGATCTTGCCACCTACAACAATGTGGCCAAGGAAATGGACCTCCATCTGGACAAATGAGCGATTCTCTTCTTTAACAAAGAGCTCATTCTTTCGCAACACCAAGAACACTTGTTTTAAGTGTTCGACATGCTCCTCCAACGTCTTGCTGTAGATGACGATGTCGTCGATGTAGACTACAACAAATCGATCAAGGTTGCAACACCTTGTTCATCAAGGTGCAGAAAGTGGCTGGAGCATTCGTAAGGCCAAAGACCATCACAAGGTATTCATACAAACTGTACCTAGTTACGCAGCCTGTCTTCGGTTCATCTCCCTTGGCTATCCTTACTCGATAATAGCCCGATCACAAGTCCAACTTGGTGAACCACCTTGTACCACCAAGTTGATCGAACAAGTCCGCAATGAGAGGAATAGTGTATTTATTCTTCACCGTGAGCTTATTTAAAGCTCGATAATCGATGCAAATCCGCAATGAACCATCGTGCTTCTTTTGAAATAACACTGGTGCACTATAGAGGGACTTCGATGGTCAGATGTAACCAGCATCGAGGAGATCCTTTAATTATCTATGCATCTCCTCTAACTCGGGCGGAGCCATTCTGTAAGGGGCTCGAGCTGGTGGCTCCGCATTCGGTACAAGTTCAATCTTGTGATCGACCTCCCTTTTTGAAGGCAACTTCTTAGGTAATTCAGCTGGCATCACATCTTTGAATTTTGCCAAAACGTGACTCACCTCCTCGGGAACTTCCTTAGTTGTGGCTGGCTCATCACAGGCCAAGATTGCTAAGAAGGTCAGTTCTTCCTTGTGCACCGCTATCGAGAATTGTATTGCGGACAAAACTTTGGCCCCTACTCCGAACCCTCGGCTTACATGAATAATGCATTGTTGCTTTGGATCCAAGATGCATAAGAAATCGACAAAGGGTACTAGGAAAGTATTGATCCTGTCCAAAAAACTTAACCCAAGCAAAGAGTACTGGGAAAACATTGATCTTTGCATTCAACTCATTGAGTGTATCCTGAACCTCCTCCTTAATAGAATCCAAGGACTCTAGCTTGTCGAGATCCAACGATCCTAGCCTTTCAAGGTCTACGGGCTCCAGTGTGTCCAACACTCTCTTGGTGTCCGCCATGGAACCCTTGAGCCTGGTAACCTTCTCTTGGAGGGACGCAAGAACATCTATCGATGGTGCTCTCTTCTTTCCAGCATTACGGGATTCATTCCCATCGGAAGCTTTTGCATCGCCATGAGGTGGTGCCATCTTGAATTAATGAAAATCGACAAAAATACGCTATGATACCACTTGTCACGGGGCTAGACTGTTGCTAGCAAGCTCGTACGGCCTTAGACGTTTTCTAAGTCGAAAATTGGCTAAGTGACCCAAACGTCCACTAAACAAGAAAGTTTAGAACGTTGGAAAACCCAAAGAAAATGGGGAAAACAAAGAGATGGGCAGACAAAAGGAAGAAGAGAGAATTGAGAGTGACTACTAGCTTGTATTTCTCAATTGAGGTGTGTTAAATGAAGTGGGGATGAGCCTCCTTTTATAGTTGGAGCCCCTTACAATCAACGGTTAGGATTAAAGTACATCAATGGTTAGGATGAGAGCCTTATCTTATCTATACAACAAGTGGGCAAGTGGGCATTACAAGTTGACATTATCTTTAAGATAATAATTATCATGTTGTCATGATTACTAATAATTATTTATTATAAATATTTAATGATTTAGATTTGATACTAATTATTTAGTAATTATTACTAATAATCATGATTAGTTTTATAATATTTTTTATTTTTTAAAAATATCAAACAAATTTGTTAGGCAAAATATCGTGATAATGCGTTGGCCGGATTATTTCATTCAATTAATTTTTACTCCTTACTAATTTACACATACAATATAAATTAAACAAAATATTTTTTTAAAACAACACTAAATATTTTTAAACACAATATTTTTTAAAACGGAAATTATATCGCACAAATTAGTTTATATAATCTAATATAAACTTACCAACTAACTAATTTACACATACAAAACAACAAAAAATGGATAACAAAAAATAATAAATTACTCACATATTTATGCCTTCTTCCTTTCCTTTCTTTTCCTTCTTTGTTTTTTTCTTTGAATCAATTTGTATGTGGGCAAATGTTGTGGAATAATGTTGTGTAAACCGTTTAATTTTTTTAAACAACAATAGCTCCCACAAATTAATTTTGTATAATCTAATATATTATAATATAACTTAAACTAATAAACTATTTCTTTATTATAATATAAGTTTAGTTAAAATAACAAACTAATTAAGCACTAATTAATTTTTTTATAATATAACTTCAACTTCAAAGAACAACCTAATATACGTTTAAAGACACTAACAAATTAATTAATATTTTTTTATATTTAATAACTTAAAATAATTAACTAATTAACTAATTTTTTATATAATATAATATATAACTTAAACTAACAAACTAATATAATATAACTTAAACTAACAAACTAATAATTTATACTAACAAACTAATTAACTAGATTTAGTTTTACCCTAAACCCTAAACTAACAAACTAATAATTTCATATATTAAACTAAATTAAACAATAAAAAATTACCTCACGAACTATGTTTGATCCTTTATCTTCTTTTCTTCTTCTTCATTTTCTTTCTCTTCGCAAAGTTTATATGTGCTTATGCTTATGCTATTGGATCTGCTTCTGCTTCTACTCTAAACCCCATATCCTTTATATAAAACAAAAAAGCGTTGGACAGAGTCATTAAATTTGACTGTTGAAGAAAATAATATTAACATTGAATCGTATAACTATTGAGCATTGAAAGTCTGCAATTGAACATCAATATTTGCTGCATTTAGCAGCTAAATTAACGTTGCAATAATGCAGCTATGGATGCAACGCATGCAGCTACGGATGCAGGAATCTCCCAGCTATGGATGCAACATATGCATGAGGGATAGGGTTAAAGCTTGGTCGCGATGCAGGAAGAGTTTGGTCACCGGGACTCCATGGCGATCTACCATGTTGCCGGACTCCATGGCGACCTGCACCCCACGTGCATGGCCCATGCATAGCAAAGAGTATCACGAGAACGTTGGACGGTGGCGTGTATGGCAACCTATAAGGACGTCGGGCTTGCATGGCAACCTATAAGGACGCCGGACGTGCATGACGACCTATGCTGGTCCGTCTAGATGTTGCCACGTCGTAAGTTGTCCGGATGACATGACGACCTATGGCCATCACTGAAGAATTTATCCCACTTGAACAATTAATCTGAACACTGCATTATCTCGTGAAATAAAAATTTCGAGAGCATTATCTCATTGATTTTGCCGCGTGAAACATGTACCAGAAATAACAACTGTTACCACGTGACATGTAGTCTTCCCCGCGTACCCAGACCCAACAAAAGGCGAGTGAATCCCTCCCCCCCCCCCCCCCAAACCCACGCATAAAAATAAAGAAAAATATAGAACGTACAACATTAAACCAGCTGTCCCGCGATAATGTTAACACAAAATGGGTCGCATAAAAGACAAAGACCACACCCTGCGCTCGACTTTCCACGTCTCCATAATCACTTTGTTTCCCCCTCTCTCACCGTTCCTCGCACGTTTGCGCGTATTTATCAGTCGCTTTCGTCATTTATTTATTCCTAAATATCTCATTAATCACTCTTAATTTCAAAATTGAACTTAAATAAACCCAGAAAATACATAAAAATATAATTAATGGATAACAAAAATTATAATAACCAAGGATAAACTATCATCAAATCTCAACCGCAAAATAGCAACATACTATCGTGATATAAAATCATAATCACCGTCAAAATATAAATATAAATAAATAAAAAAGAAAACAAAATAAACCTCTACTGCTACTAAAAATAAGAATCTAACAATGGGCCTAAAATAAAATTCGACCAAATCCGAATCCTGAAATCCCAGAAAGTCAGATCTAAACGAACAAAGCAGCGGCTGCAACAACCGCTACAACGGCGGATCCAGCTACGGTAACACTGTTCAAATCGGCGGCATTAGGAGAATTCGGAGACGCTGCTGGTGTATTACTGATGGACGATGGAGTGACAGCGCTAGTAGGACCACCAGCGGCGGGAGAACCAGCAGGAGCCGTGGGAGGAGCCGGGGGAGAGGAAGTTGGAGAAGATTCAGGGGCTGAAGTTGGAGGGGTGACGGTTGAAGGCGGCGAAGCGGTTGGTGTAGCTGTGGGAGAGGTGGTTGGAGAAACCTTGGGAGCTGGAGTCGGAGAAGAAGACGGCGGCGATCTGGTTGGGGCGGAGCTTGGTGCTTGACCGAGAGCGCAGCTAACAATGAGAGCTAAGAGAACGAAGCAAGCTAAGGATGTAGCCATTGTGGAATTTTAAGAGAAAATAGAAAGAAAAACAGAGAGCCTGAGAAATAGAAGAAGCGGCAGTAGGGTAGAGGAGAAAGAGAGAGGAAATAAGGTATATATAGAAGGTTTAGGTCTTGGGCTGGGTTTTCACGGACTTTATATATATATATATATATATATATATATTATGCCTTCTAAAACTTTGGAGTTTTCTGATTTTTTTATCCATCCTACTACTTTGTTTTTTGTTTCAGTTTAGTCCAGTTTTAGGATTATATTATATAACTTTTTTTGCTTATTTGAATAGTCCTTTTCCATTTTATTCCTTTCTGGACTTAAAACAAAGCAAAAAAAAAAAACTACAATTTCTTTAAAAAATGTGTCCATAAGGTTTTGATTTTTAGTAAGTATATGCATTTAATTGATTTTATAGATGCCCATTAAGAATATTTATTTATATTTTCAAAATATTTTTATTTAATATATTACTTTTTTACTAAAGGATAAAAATAATTTATTCATTTCAATTTTATTTATATATTATTACCTCTATCTATAGTAATGAAGTCATGTCAAAGGAAAAGTAAAAGGGGCATTTCGCAATTACATGGACACAAGTGAAATCAATATTCACAAACGGTGACTTGATCGTACTTTCAAGGTAATACAAGACATACACATCATTAACATACACGTGTCCACTGAGATCCAATTCAGAGAATCTCAACCGTCTAACTTATTCTTTTTGTAAAATCCAAAACGCGTTGGCTTTAAGCATTCTATTTATAGATGAACGCTCAGTAAAAAAACTATTCGGTGGGAATCATATCTAATAATTCAACATTGTTTTTTATTTTTATATTAATAATTTCATAAAATAAGCACATCACTATTATAAAATACATTGAAAATTATATATATATTCATAAAAATAGCGTTTTAGCGTGTCATATTATATTTAATATCTTATTTTTGTCTAATTTAATTTGAAAATAAAAGGAAACTCTCATGGATCAAAGCAATTCCCATTATATTTATCAACAAAAAATTCTGCTTACCGTTACGATTGGCACGTTAGTCCAATTTATTATTTTTCGGAACTACCGTTTTCAAATAATCATAGCTTAATGAAAGATAATACTAACTTTTTCTAATTATTTTATTAAAGTTGTCTCCTTTTAAGAATGTCTAAGGTACAACAGTCTTAATATACGGTTAATAAAAGTTGATATCGAAAATATTAATATTTTTTTACATTTGCAATAAAACGTTAATTAAAACGTTATTTTTTTTCTACCAGAAATATTAATACTGGACGCTACATAAAATATTTAACATTTCTAGTAAAACATTACCTAAAATATTCTTTTTACCGGAAATTAGGTAGCAAAATTAATATTTTCGATAAAAAATAATATTTTATATAACGTTTTATCAAAAATGTTAAAAAAATATTAATACTTATAATGATGCATTTTCTTAACCTTATATTAAAACTATCCTACATGTATCCCTAAATTGTAAATTGTGATATTGTTAATAGTTTAAGAAAAAGGCTTTGGATTCTTCTTTTGTTCTAATAAAATAAAGCTTTTGTTGTGCTTCTGTCTTAGATATCACAAAAATCAAACAGGATTGGACCACGTGTAAAACAAAGCACGAATTAATAAAATTATTTATATATGGGTTGGTGAAATTTAAAGATTATTCAAATAGTTTTTGTGTCGATATTAAAGTAATTCGTGGGTTGGGTTTTTTTAATTTTATTTTGATATAACGGCCCTACGTTTTAAATTTATCAATATTTTAATATAATATAATCACTATAAATAATAATTGATAAATCAATAAACTTTTAAAATAATAATTTTTCAGTATCGATTCGGGTCTAAGACTTAAATTAATTTTTGATAAATTAATAAGATAATTTTTTGAAAGACCCTCATATAAATTTATGGTCCTTTAATATTATAAAATAATAATCCTAGAACAACTTAATAAAATATGATTATATTATTGTTTACTTCTTCTTAAAATTTAAATCTAACTGTATTTTACTGCTAAAATTACAAATGTTTAATGTTGTTTATGTAGTTATTGATTTCCTTACCATACATAAACTTACATTAAGTTTTAATAATTAGTACCACGTACTATAATGAATTTTATTTTTTAGGAGTATGTATTATATTTAATTATTCATATTGTATATAAACACCATTCAATTAATCAATACAATGTATATGTCTCATTCATGAAGAATAATATAGGTTTGTTGAATTAAAAAAACTATTTAAATTAATAATTTACTAATTAATAACTCTTTAAATTAATAAAATTAAGTGATCTCGGTATTATTAATTTATAGGGATTTTATTGTATTGTATTATATATATAGTATTAAAATTTAAAAAAAAATAATTAATTCAATTCAGAAAACTGAACACATCAAATCAAATCAAATCTATTAATTTAATTTTTATTTTTTAAATCAAACTGTATGGGATAAAACCAATTGTGAAATACAAATACAGAATGAAGATAAAATTGACGAAACATTTATTGAGTTTGTGAACGGATGAGCTAATGCTGAGTGGGTGCCAAAACGTGGGTCTGGATCTTATCTGTCAATGTTCAAAATGATAGCCGCCAACACATGATAAGGACCCTGGAACCTCCACTCCCTTAACCCTACCAACCCAGTCTTTCTTCCCTCTTTGCCCTTTCAACTAAAATTTATATGATAGAAAGATCATTCAAATTAATGAAAAATGAATTAAAAATTTGTATAAATAAATCTGTTATAGAAAATCTAGCCTTGCCTATAGAGCATTTACCGAATGAGGAGGGATATTTCCAATAATTGAGCTGATATTAAATGAGTTAACTAGGTGAGGTTCGAGCCCTCAGTTTGCAATAGGATGGACTTAAGGTTTTGTATTAGGGCAAACTTATAAAATTTCAAGAATGAAATTTTAGAAGATGAAAATAAATTATTAATAAAAATATTAAAATAAAATATTAAAATTATATAAGATTCAAAACTTTTAAAAGGATGAGTGTTCCCACTAGCTCTCTTCAGTTTATTCATGCGTGTACAATACGTAACAAATAGGGAAAGGCAATATACCTCCAGTTCTCTTAGAGAAATATGCGTTCGTATGTGAGCTGGGATACCGTACCGTGTTTTTCAGTAGCAACCGTTATGGGTGTGTTTGGTTTATAAAATATAAGATTATTAATGAGAATAAAAGATTATTAAGGAATAGGATTATTAAGAATATTTTATTTTATGTTTGGTTGGTTTAGCAAGGAATGTAAGATTACCGTGTTTGATTAAAAGAATAAAAGATTATTAAAATACATATTTGACCAAATTATTCTTATTATATATTTATTTTTTTAACAAGTTTGAAAATATTTATATATTTTCTTTAAAAAATTTAAATTCATAAAATTCATATAATTTTTTTATAAAATTGTAAATATAAAAAGGTTTAATAAAAGGGTAAATTTTTATTTTAATCCCTGAACTTCATATAAAATTGTAATTATAGTTTTTTTTTTTGTAAATCTAAAATAATTTAAGAATAAATTTGTAATTTAACCTTCGTATAATTTTTATTATTCAATGACAGAATAATGATATATTTGAAAGAAATTTTTTTAAGGGCATTTTAGTCTAAAATGCCGGTAATCCAACAATACCTAAGGAAATGGAGGTAATGACATTCCCGGTAATATACCCCAAAAAATCCACTATTGATAATGTAAGATTACCGGGAATGACATTCCCGACCAACCAAACGGGGGAATGTAGATTCCATTCCCATGATAATCTTACATTCTCCCAACCAAATACACCCTAAGAGGTAGCTAGGGCTCAACCAGTGACGGAACCTGATGATAATAGAGTTTGGAGTGACCAACTTAAAACTTTAAATTTTTTAAAGGTTTAAATTATAATTTTTTAAAAATTTAAAGGGTTTAATTTATATTTTCTCAAAAAAATGGGATCTAATAAACTTTTTTTAAATTTTGAAAGGCTTAATTAGAATTTTTAAAAATTATGGGATGAGTTTAATTAAGAATATAAATTTTTTTAAAAGATTAGTATAAATTTTTAAAAATTTTGCGGGATCAAATTAAAAATTTTAAATATTTGGGAGAGTCGTCGCCCCCACTAGCCTCCATTATATCCTGTCAGTGGATTCAACTGTTGTATATATAAATCTTAATTACACGTATAAAAAAATATGAATATATATATATATATATTATGATTAGAAAATTTTGTTTAAATTAAAATTAACTCATATTATAATGTTATAAATAATTAAAATAAAATCTGAATGATAAAATATGATTAATCAGTATGATAAACTCAAATTTTTTTATCCAATGAGATCTAGCTCGACTGAATACTCACCCTTAATTTATATTTATTATAGATTTATAAAAGTATATTAAAATATTTAGTCTAAAATATTTAAATATATTTTAATATTAGGTTTCTTATAATTAGATTTATAAAAGTATTTTTTAATATTGTTTTAATTAGAAATGGCAATGCATTCTGGATCTGACATGAATCTGTAGATCTATATCCATTTTATAGAGTCCGGATCCTAAAATTTTGGACCCGCCGGATCCGGACTAGATATGAATACTCTGATTAAAGTACGGATCCGAGTCCGGATCTAACACTAAGATATCGAGTCTAGACCCATTTACCCGTTTATAGAAAAACTCGCCTTTGATTTTAATATATATATATATATATATATATATGACATAATAGGTTTTAAAAAATATATAGATATTTTATAGAGGGAGACGCGTGAGTTCTTATAGGTTTTAAACTCGACTTGCGACAATAGAATGTTTCATAATCTATTTTTTAATGTTTGTGTTATTTAAAAGACATTTGTGTAATTATGTGGAGTTTTTTTAGACTTTAATTTATCGGTTTTTTATTCTGTTACTAGTTATATTGAAATTAATCTTTCTTCCATTGG